TTCTGGCTCGTGGTCCCTGGTAGGCCCACAGAAATCCATACACATGACTGATGCCAAAGACTGACATTATCATATCAGCCTGGATAGCTCTTGGGAGCCTAAGGGGCTCCCCCCAGAAAAAAAGCATTGAATGTAATGAAACGCCATTTTCTCGGTGAGCCCCAGGCCTGACAGCGGAGTGGACAGCACTTCGGATTCATAGTTCTGAGGTTCTGGGTTCAATCCCTGGTGGAGGCGGAAACAAATGGGCAAAAGTTTCTTTCACCCTGATGCGCCTGTTCACCTAGCAGTAAATAGGTACCTGGGAGTTAGAAAGCTGCTACGGGCTGCTTCCTAGAGGTGGGTAACAAAAAACCGGCGTTGAATGTAATGAAACGCCATTTTCTGAACGAGCCCCGGAGGCTCCCTGGAGCTTATCGGGCTAATGTATGTTATATTAGACCGGGACATTAGCTAAGGAGTTCAGACCTACCAGGGACCAGTGCCAGAACCTGGCCCCTTCAGAGAGGTTTCAGGGAGCAATGGCCCTGGAAAACCCCATTGTGGTTGGGGTTTTCCTAATCTGCCATCGACCGGGGTTAGGCACCCAGAAAGGTAGGCATAACAAAACAAACCCCACATGGTAAAAAACTTAAACAAAAAACAGAACAGAGAGGTAGAAACTCCCTACAATCCCAAGCAAACAAGCAAATATCACACTTTACTGCCAAGCTGATCGTCCGCGCAGTCCTCCCCGCCCCGAGAGGGGGAGGGGGGAGCCCCGGACCTACCGCGCCGGCTGCCTAGCTTCAGTTCGGAAGCTAAGCATCAACCAACGTGAAAAAAACGCCGACCAGTGGGAGGGAGGGTTGCCAGGGAGCCTCCGGAGCTCACCCAGAAAATGGCGTTTCATTACATTCAACGCTGGTTTTCTGTGGGGAGCCCCTACGGCTCCATGGAGTTTCATACCCAAAGAGAAGGAAAAGAAAGGGCTAACCCGGGAGGCGGCCACCACAAAATCCGCAACGCGAAGCCGAGACAACAAGTTGCAACCTGCAACCCAAGGCAACAAGACCGCACAGGAGCAGATGCGCGTAAAGAATGGGCGGCCAAGAACCTGTGCGACCCTCGAATCTCTGCGCCCGAAATGAGCCCTAGACGTCACCAACACAGCAGCAAAATCTGCAAACGTCCGAACAGCGCAGGCACAAGGACAGACCGCAGGCTGGAAGACTGAAAAACTCTGCGGACGACCTGGAAGACCCGAGCCCTAAAAACAGGGAACGAAGGGAACCGGATCAACCCAAAGCGCATCCCCAGACACGGTACGCAGGCAACGGCAAAAGGCGCAACAGGACAACACAGGCTGCACCCCCGGCCAAACCAATCACGCATCAATAACCCAAGAACCCCTCCGGAAAGCAGCCGTCTCGACTGTCGCCAGGACAGAGAAAACTGCAAACGTACAAACCTACCACCAGTACCAAAGAGCAGAACTTGAACCGAAGGGGCTACCACAAACTGAGGAGAAGATAAGAAGGCACCCTGATCAAGGACAAGGACGGCTAAGGCGACGCATGATCAGGCCAGCGGTGAAACAAAACACGAGAAAGCATACGAAACGGGGCAGATGTAACGTCCACCCCGAACGCAAGCCGGAGCGGCTCTGCCAGCGCCGCACAAAACGAAGCGACAGTAAGAAACATCAAATACTTGTAGTCCTGAAAACCCAAGAAAGGACAAGACAACCTGATGCGAAAGAGAAGACAACCTACGAAGAGCAAGAAAAAGTGCAAAGAAATACCAGGAACATCATACTGTCGCCAAGACGAAGCTCGCAGGTGGGACACCGTCAACAAAGCCACCTGATCACCACAGAGATGGTGATACCCGCGTCAAAATACCAGACACGAAGAGCCGACGAGAAAGGTGAACCAGTCACGTATAGGACCGATCCGACCTGCCGAAAGAGGCGGAGCCACAAGAAAACGCCCCGGGATGGGACACCTATCAAGCAGTGTCTGAAAATAAAGCTGGGCCGGCCACCAAGGAACCATAAGGACTGCTCTCGTGGGAATGGACTGCAACCGAGCCAGAACCCGAAACAACAGCTAGACTGGGAGAAGAGGAACAGGTACCCCCACTGTGAACGACTAGCAGGCAGGTAAGGGCACCACATAAAATGGGCGACGCCTAGACCATGCCGACTCGAAGACGTCCATGGCCAGGAGTCCATACGTCTGGCAGAGCCAACAAAACGAGTCGGCGACGAATGGCCAATCCGCGAACAGAGGAATGAACCGAGACAGCTGTCCGCCAGGACACAGGACACACCCCGGACATGAACCTCACGGTTAGCCAAACCCCGAGAATCCAGCAAATGAACCACTCTAAGGAACCAACCCCAAAGGTCAACACCTAAGCGAAACCCTGTGGTTCCGGCAAAGAACCGCCAGAGAACAGTTCGAATGGAGCTGAATGGTAGAGCACCGAGTGACCCAAACCCTCCGAAGCGCAAACCAGGCAGTCACGAACTCCCGAACCGTGCTGTTAACCTGACGGACGGACAGACCCCACCATCCCCATCCGACCTGGTGAGCACTGGTCGCAAAGCCCCAGCCGAGAGATGACCCGTCCGTGAACACACCGAACGAAGGCTCGGGGAGGTGCCAAGGCACGGAACCCCGAAAACCCCAAAGAGGAAGCTGGTGACGCTGCACCAACACAAGATCCCCGGAGGAACGAACCCAACGAGAGGCAGAAGGGGAGTCTCCAAAGGAACCAAACAGACGACGAAGCCAGACCCGACCCCACGGGCAGAAGTTCAGAAGTTCACGTCGAAGTTCAGACTCCCGCACAACTGCTCGAGCAACCGCTGAGCAACCCGGGACCCCCTCATGAACAGCCGAAAGTGGGACCACAGCCGCAGCAACACTTCTGGAGGGAAAGACAAGGAGCGGCCCAAGAGCCCTAAACAAGGCCCAGCCAGGTCCGAACCCGGGATGCAAAAAGATGGAATGGCCTCCAGATCACCAGGAAACCAAACTTGGCGATCTGGAAAGAACCACACCCCTGGCGAGCAGACAAGCAGACCGACTGGGAGCCAACACCAGCCAGTCGTCGAGGTAGGCCAGACACCGAATCCCAAGCAGACTCAGATAGGGCACCAAGATCCGGTAAAGATGCAAAAATACACCAAGTGCCAATTACAAAATAGGAAAAGCAACAAAAGCGACAACCTTGAGGTTACCTTGAGGTGCTTCCGGGGCTTAGCGTCCCCGCAGCCCGGTCGTCGACCAGGCCTCCTGGTTGCCGGACTGATCAACCAGGCTGTTGGACGCGGCTGCTAGCAGCCTGATGTATGAGTCACAGCCTGGTTGATCAGGTATCCTTTGGAGGTGTTTATCCAGTTCTCTCTTGAACACTGTGAGGGGTCGGCCAGTTATGCCCCGCCTGAAGCCCCACCTGACAAGACTGAAGCCCCACCACCAACTGTGCCAGTCCCGGAAAACTGGAGAGGAACGTGCCAAGAATTGACCTGTAGGTCCAGGGTCACCATCCAGGCACCCGGCCCCAACAGAAGCCGGACAGGAGACAACAGTCCTCCGATGAGGGCATAGAATCCAGGGCGCAGACAAGAAGTCCAGAAGAATCACAGATTCGACAGGCCCATGTCTGCAAAAAGCAGACGGGAACCCCAGAAGGATGGGGCAGATCGACCACGTCCAACGCACCCACTAAGATGACATGACGAAGCGCAGGGGAAGAAGCCCACCCCGCCAGCCCTGAACCCCCCAAAGGAAGAGAAGCCGTCCACCGCCGCCAACAGAGGCCGAAAGACAACCAAAAGCGCCCACTAACTACGGGACCATGCGAAAGTCAACAGAGCAAGCTGCTCCCCCAGCGTCCCGTCAACAGAGAAGGGAACAGAGTCTCTTCCAAAAGAAAAAGTACACATACACATATATACATATTATGTACATACACATACATATACACATACACACAAGGTATGTTATACACATGTGCACACACAGTGTTCACATGTACATGTGTACACACACATACACGTGAAAAGAAAATTATAAGCCGCCGACCAGTGGGGCAGAGAACACCACACCGGTCAGGCGAAGAAGGCATAAAACTGCATCAAAAAGCCCACCTCGACAACAAAACCTCAAAGTCCCAGCACGACCACAGCACGTGCCAAGGCCCAAAAAGATCAGTCTGCAAGCCAGGAAGACCCCGGAACTCCAGAAGGCAGAACCGGGTCACACACGAGGAAACAAAGCCCCCTGAACCCACAAAGGGGGCCCAAGAGGAAGAAACCTCCGGAACGAAACCAAAGAACCCAAAGGAATCTGGAATCGAACCAGGGGGAGCCCAAACCACCACATTTGCCAGCAGAGATACACCACAGAAAGGCAAAGCACAGCCCCCAGACAGAACCCCCAGGGAAACGGTCAAAACAGACCGAAAACCGAGGGACAAGGTGTGGGAGCAAGCATAACAGCCAGGGACACAGACCAAACCCAAGGGCCCTGACCCAAAACAGACAAAATGGAAAAACCCGGTGTAAAATCACCACTCAAACATTCCCAAAGGAACAGGAAACGGGCAGAAAATTACAGAAAAGCAAAGAAACAACAACAGGAGAATAAAACCCCTGAAAAAGGTGAAAACTCACCCAAAACGCTCGCTCGCACACCCAGGCGCATGTAAACAAACAAGCATGTATTGATATGATAAATTATACATCTTGGTAATCATTTAGTAAACACATCACAAAAAAAATTATTAATATGAAATAGTATCCACTCGATTAAAGGATCTCTTATAATCCTCACCTGTTATATACTGTCTCAATCCCCAACCTCATTACCTTATGCAGTACTTATTAATATTCTTAACAGCATCTGTAGTTTTTTACTAATATATTCCACATCTATCCTTATACTGTACTTAATTTTGCATTATTATTTTTACAATAAAGAATTTTATTATCACCGATCAAAACTTACGTGGTCAATTCCTCCCTGGTTTTCCTGTGACTCTCATACCCTGGTCGTCCTTCTGTGGTATCCTCTTTTTTCTTTTTCTTCTCTTTCTTTTTATGGATTAGAAGAGGAACTGTATGCTTTGGAAGGAGCTGCAACAGTATTGATATGATAAATTATACATCTTGGTAATCATTTAGCAAACACATCACAAAAAAAATTATTAATATGAAATAGTATCCACTCGATTTAAGGATCTCTTATTTGCTGTTCTGCCGGTTCTAGCGACCGAATTTTAGATCGTTAACTGGCTCCTCATTTACAGAGTCAATGGCCGTTAAATCCAGAAATCGGTAATGAGTTTACAGAGTCAAGTATGTGTTAAACTGGAGCTCACTATTATGTTTTTTGTGACAAGCTTGCCTTCGCTAGGCCAGTGGTTACATTTCCATTCACAAATTTCACTGCTCCTGTTATGCAGCATGTAATCAGAGCTAGTCACAGTCACAACCAGTAACAGTAAGGCAGGCATTCACAATCACAAGTCAGTCAAGCATTCACTGTCACAAGTAACAGTCAGTCATAACTAGTCAAAGGCTGTTAGACATTCACAGTTGTGGTAGCAAACAGTCACAGTATATAAACAACACGAGTCTGATGTTTAGTGAAGACCTACATTATGTACTCTCACAAACCCAATGTACCTTCTTGTATATGAATGTCTGAATGCATGTATGTATGTATGTATGTATGTATGTATGTATGTATGTATGTATGTATGTATGTATGTATGTATGTATGTATGTATGTATGTAAAGTCCAGTCCAGTCCCCAGGAAAGTCGAGTCGAGCCGAGCCGAGTCGAGCCGAGCCGAGCCGCACCAAGGCAAGGCAAGGCAAGGCAAGGCAAGCCAAGGCAAGCCAAGCCAAGCCAAGCCAAGCCAAGGCAAGCCAAGGCAAGCCAAGCCAAGGCAAGCCAAGGCAAGCCAAGGCAAGCCAAGGCAAGCCACGTCATGCAGTCAGTCGGGCAGTCAGTCAGTAAGTCGGGCAGTCAGTCAGTATGTCGGGCAGTCAGTCGAGCAGTCGGGCAGTCAGTCGAGCAGTCGGGCAGTCAGTCGAGCAGTCGGGCAGTCAGTCGAGCAGTCGGGCAGTCAGTCAGTTGGGCAGTCAGTCAGTTGGGCAGCCAGTCAGTCGGGCAGCCAGTCAGTCGGGCAGCCAGTCAGTTGGGCAGCCAGTCAGTCTGCCTGCAAGGCCACCATATGGTAGGAAGGAAGCCAAAAATCAGGCCCCTTACTGTATTAATCTTGTACCGGCCATCTAGACGTGGCTGGAGGGGTGAGGGATATTTCTGGGAGGGTCTGTTATGGGGATGGGGGGGAGGGTGGTTACGATGTTGTGGGGATGAGGGAGATGGGGGGTTATCTTGAGGGATAAGGTGGGTAGGATGTTGTGGGGATAAGGGAGATGGGGGGATCTTGAGGTTATCTTGAGATGATTTCGGGGCTTGGTTTTCCCGCGGTCCAGTCCTCGACCAGACTTCCTTCTTATTACACATCCTCAACAAGCAGCCCTTAGCAGCTGTCTAACTCCCAGGTACCTATTTACTGCTAGGTGAACAAGGGCATTAGGGTGAAAGAAAATTTGCCCATTTGTTTCCGCCTCCTTCGGGAATCAAAGGCTACGAATCCCAAGCACTGTCCACTCAGCCATCAGGCCCCCGAATGGATGGACGAGGCGTGATCACAGCCACTCTGTGATAGTCTGCCTGCCACCCTGCTATTCAAACCACATGAGTCAGCCACCAATCCATCCATCCAATTAACCCAACTAGTCCGCCCACCTTACTAGCTTGATGAGGTTCTGGAAGATTTTCTACTCTCCAAGCCTAGCCTGAGGCCAGGCTTAACCTCCCACCCCTTCCACCTTCCAGCCAGCACCAATTCATCCACCTACCTACCCACCCAGCCAGGCCACCCAACAAGCCAGCCTGCCAGTCAGTCAGCCATCAATCCATCCATCCACCCACCTGCTCAACCACCCTGCCAGCCACCCCCACCCACTCTGCCCATCCACCTTAACCAGTCAGCCACAAATCCATCCACCCACCTGCCTGCCAGCCTGTTAGTCAGCAACCAATCTATCCACCCACCCTACCTGCCCACCCCCACTCCTACCTGCCAGCCAGTTACCCATTCATCCATCCATCCATCCCACTTGCCTGCCCCACCCACCAGCCAGACCACTTGGCTGCACCAGCCAGACCACTTGGCTGCACCAGCCAGACCACTTGGCTGCACCAGCCAGACCACTTGGCTGCACCAGCCAGACCACTTGGCTGCACCAGCCAGACCACTTGGCTGCACCAGCCAGACCACTTGGCTGCACCAGCCAGACCACTTGGCTGCACCAGCCAGACCACTTGGCTGCACCAGCCAGACCACTTGGCTGCACCAGCCAGACCACTTGGCTGCACCAGCCAGACCACTTGGCTGCACCAGCCAGACCACTTGGCTGCACCAGCCAGACCACTTGGCTGCACCAGCCAGACCACTTGGCTGCACCAGCCAGACCACTTGCCTGACCTACCCAGCCAGCCAGCACACTTGGCTATACCAGGCCACTCGCCTGCCCACCAACCCATCTACCAGCAAGTTAACCAGACAGCCAGCCCACCCACCCTCCATCCTGTTGCTCTCCCAAATATGACTAAACTGTCACCGACACTTTAAACCCTCCGGATTTAGCCGAGCCCTGGATTTAACAACCTTGGAACAGTCCCCTATGGGTCGTTAAATCGTGTGGATACTGAACTGTACAATAAAACTTTGTATATCATGCAAACTAAAGGCTTTCAGCTCTCAGGGATATTCAACTGTGCCAACTGTATATTAAACAAATTTACGAGCAAAAAATAATGCAGCAGTTAAGCTTTCTGCTTCATACATAGTTAAAGAAAATATAATGCCAGGACATAAAGGTATTCTAATAATTGATATATCTTTTTATTTTTTCAATCTACTTTTCTATTTATTTACATGTATTATAGCATTTTAGATGCAGTGATAATACAGTGATGCAAATGCCATTGTATATTTTGATGTGCTCAACCTTTCTGGTGGTTTTTCCTCTTGGTTAGGGCGACCAAATATCCCCCTGCTCCCTAAGCCTCTATTTAGTAGACCAGAAATTGTCCCTGGTCTATCAGTAGGCATTTTTGACTTCCAATGCCCTAGTGTGACATGGTAGGTGTAGGGTTATCCAGGTAGCTACCTCCACGGAACCATAGAGAGGCCACTCCCAGAAAACAAAACAAAAATTTGAGAGCAAGGATACCTATAAAACTTGACAGCCATTAAAGTTGCAACCTAAGATCATACCTTGTCAGAAAGGATGCACTGCTCATCACAGATTGTAGTAATGATATTTTTTGCTTCTTTAGCCATCTCTTCCAGAAACATATTGACTACAGATAGGCTTCGTTCTCGTATATGGTAACGCTGTAGAAAATATAAACATTAATACTGTACATTTAGGAGAATATTTACTTAATTAAATTCAATTTCTTGATACTATATTGACACTATATTGATAACTGTATTAAGCATAAGGTATTATCATTTATGTATAATTTGGATTACACTAGTATAAGAAAAGTATAAATGTGAACTACACACAAGAGTTCTTAGGATGTCCATGTCCTACCTCGAGCTGAAAAGGGAGGAAGGAAATACGAGTTATCTAAACAACTGACCTAAAAGAAATATTTAACCGCTACCTACAAAACAGCTAAAAATATAACGCTTAACCACTTGAGTATGTGCTCCTCACCTCAACAAACTTACCTACATGTAATGTTATATGAAGGGGGAAATATGGTAAACATGAAGAAAATGGCTAACACTTAAATGCCCTTCACCAAAGGAAAGATGGTAAAATAACTCCTTCCATTAATTCAGTTTGGGTATCATATACAGTATAATATTCGTAAACAAAAAGATACTTTGAAAAATGTACGCACACACAAGTATGTATACACATGAATAGATTCATTCATGTTTTTATTTGCACATGATACTAAGATCTTAAGGACTATGAGGACAAAAGAAGACCGCAGAATGCTGAAGAAAGATCTAACAGTCTACTAGAGTGGTCAAACAAATGGCAAGTGGAGTTCAACCCTAGCAAGTAAAAATGAGGACAGGGAGAAACAAGAACAGCATAACACAGGAAGAGAGACAGCAATAAGCCATTATAACTATATAAAACTTGGAAGAGATTTAGGATACAGTCGAGGAAAAGAATGGAACCTGGATGTATATGATGTCCCAGTAAGCATCCTTGAGGTCCAAGGACACCATCCAGGCTCTAGCCTGTAATAGTAGATAAACCTGGGCAAGGGTGGTCATGCAGGTTAGACATGGAATGAAGTTGTTGAGACCCTGAAAGATTGAAGATGTATTGCAGGTCTGCCCCGTCCACATTTGGGACCGGGAACAATTGAGATACCCACCGAAGGGATGAAATTAACTCATCCATGCCTGATGTCAAACAAACTGACCAAATGGAACGACCTGATACTGGGCCAGGAGGATGCCTGACCAAATTGAACCTATCCTAAATACAGGGGAGTAACTGATCAGCTCCAATGCAGGTCGCTGGAAATAACCTGAAAGATCGATCGACTTGAGAATGGTCCAGGATGGACCGAAATGTCGTCGTCCCTTCACTTTCTCTTGTGTGGTCTGGTCAACCTGAAAGATCCACAAATTGGAGGTCTTTCAGGAGATGGTAAAAGGATCTAGAAGTGCCCCCATGACAGCGTCAAAGTAGTGAACCATAAAAGGGTCAGCATGAACCCTTCGTGGAATCAACCTTCAGTGACATGTAACTGCAATGTCGAGCAGAGGAGGAAACCACATCAGGAAGTGCAATGACAGTTACATCTTATAAGTGCAGGTCACAAAATCCCAGCTGAGGCATCAGTGAAAACAATTAGCGAAAGCAGAGGAATATCCCAGACAATCTAACACTAAAAAAACCAGCGTTGAATGTAATAAAACGCCATTTTCTGGATGAGACCCGGAGGCTCCCTTAAAGCTTATCCAGGCTGATGTACTAATGTCAGACTTTGGCATCAGTCATGTGTATGGAGTTCTATGGGCCTACCGCGGACCACAGGCCAGGACCTGGCCCCCTCAGAGAGCCAAGGGAAGCAATGGCCTATAGAAACCCCCGTGTGGTTGGAAGCATTCTATGTCTGCCATCGACTGGGTGAGGCACCCAGAAAGATAAGCGTCCCAAAAGAAACCCCTTTTCTGGTGAAAATTGCTATCACAAGCCGAACAAGTGGATAGAACTCCCCCTAAAAGAAACGAGCAAACGATCATGACATCACACGTCGCCATGCCGCTGTCTGCGCAGTTCCCCCCTCCCTGGGAGGGGGAAGGGGGAGCCCCAGACCTACCACATCGGCTATCCACCATCAGTTCTGAGGCTGGATGTCAAAAAAACGCGAAAAACCGCCGACCGGAGGGAGGGAGGGAGGGATGCCGGGGAGCCATCGAGTCTCACCCAGAAAATGGCATTTCATTACATTCAACGCTGGTTTTCTGGGGGGGGGGAGGGGGGCTCTTCGGCTCCCTAGAGCTAACTACCCACAGAGGAAATAAGAGGGTCGTACCTGGGAAGCGGTCACCGCACAATACCCAACTCAAAGTCGAGACAACTGGCTGCAACTGCCAACCCAAGGCAACACAGGCCCGAATGGGCCTGGGAATGACCATGAGATATCGAGCAGCCAGGCCCTTGTATGACCGCAAAAAGCCCCGTGCCTGAATGTCAGCCAGGACATGCCGCCAAGACGGCAGCAAAAGCAGCAAATCTATGAATGTCATTGACACGGGGATAGAACGCAGGCTGGCTAGCCTCAATAACATGGCGGACGACCCGGGAGACCCTCACCCGCGAACAGGGAAGTAGAGACCAGATCAATCTAGAGCGCTTCCCGGACACAAAAGCCGTGGCGCGCAAATAACAACGGAGGCCGCAACACAAAACACGATACACCCCCGGCTCGACCAACCAAGCACCAACAAACCAAGGACCCATCCGGAAAGCAGCATTCTGGTCTCATTCTGTTCCAGAAAAAAGGGAGACTGCTGCAACCGAACAAACCTAACGCCACGACCGAAGGAGCAGAAACCCCTGCACCGGAGGAGAACAGGAAGCTCACCAACCCGACCCCTAGAGGCAAATGCTAACAGGAAAAGAGCCTTCGAGAAACAAACCCGAACCGAAGGGGCCACAACAAACTGAGGAGAAGAAGAAAGAGGACGCTGCCCAAAGACCAAGAAAGGCCTGCTCAGGCGGCGCATGAGCAGAGGTGAAACAACACACGAGACAGCTTACGAAATGGCTCAGATGTAACACCAAGACCGAAGGCAAGCTGAAGCAGCTCCGCCAGCGCCGCACAAAGGCGACAGTATGCGGCAAGATGACGGCCCCAAACCTCCACCAGAAAAGACAAGCCGATGCTATCAAACGCAGCCACCTAAGAAGGGACAGAAGGAAATGGAAGGACCACCAGAAAACCCCATACTGCCGCCAAGAAGAAGCAAGCAGGTAGGACACCAACAACGAACCCACCTGACCACCAACTGAAGGTGAGAGACTCAAGACAGAACCTAACCAGCCCCATTAAGGTTCATTCAAGCCTAGAAAGAGGCAGAGCCGCGGGAAGATCTCGGGTGCGACTACCAAGCAAGCACAGCCGGAAACCCAAGCCGACAGAGAAGGAGATGAAACGTCGGGCAAACAGAAAACTCCCCAACACAAGTGAGCTCGACAGGAGATCGGAGACTACGAGTCTGACGCAAGACTCCAGAAAAGGGACACCGCGAGACCCTGAAAATGAATAGGCAGGGCAGGCCAGGAAAACAGGAACCCAACCCTGGCAACAGGAGGGCCAAAAGGCACAAACAAAACACACAACAGTGTGTAGGAGAAAACGAGAAAAGACCAGAAGAACAGCCCCAGCACCAGTGGCCAGGGACAAGAGTGAAGCAGGAAGATGAGGAACGAAGAAGGCATACAGCAAATCAGGAACGAAAGGGACACGACCAACCCACAGAGCTGCAGACCACGTCCCAACAAATCCTGCCAACAACACAGAGTCGCAGGCCCTGTCCCAACAAACCAAACTAAAGAAGGTGCAAAGGTTTGCCATCAGACTAGTACCTGAACCGAGGGGTACGATCAACGAAGACAGACTAACCAACACAAGTGCATATGCACCATGCGACACAGGGGGAAAGGAGCGCCTAAAGGAGCCAAAGAAACACAAGAAAAAAACATTCCAGTGGCAGAGTAGTAAACAAATGGAATGTATGAGGAAGGGAAGTGGTGGAGGTTGACCCCACACACAGCTGCAAGTGCGGAAATGACAGAGCCCAGTAGATGCCAGGGAAGCGACAGGGAAGAGGCAGGACGAAAGAGCCAAAGCTTAACTCCAGGAAGCGCAACCAGGGGCGGACAACTAGATGAGGACAGAGAAACCAAAGTACATGGAAGGGCCAAGCCTGGCACTCCAAGACGGGAAAGAAATGAGGGACCCAGATAAGATCACTAAAAATGCCACAAGCAATCTTCAACACGTATCCCCAGGCACAAAACTGCAGCAAAATGTCACCTCACAACACCCTGACACAGTAACAAGTACCACATGTTACTAATGCATATGTGCATGAGTCAGAGATGTGGTGGAGGCTGACTCCAGACAGTTTCAAATATAGATATGATAGAGCCCAGCAGGCTTCGGAACCTGCACACTAGGCGATTGAAGGCTGAGAGGCAGAACCAAAGAGCCAGAGCTCAATCCTCACAAGCACAACCAGGTGAGTACATAACTTGCACCTTAACCATCGTACCTCGTAACATGGATGAGGTGGGGTCCCTTGATCGACTCGAGCATGGGTTGGACATGCATAAGAGTTTGACTGGAGCTGCCACGTACGGGCCAACAGGCCCTTGGCGGTCACCTGTGTGCTGACGGTCTTATATTCGTATCCAAAAACCATGAACCAGCGCCTAGCCGAAAGAGACGCCAGACCGCAGAAACTCACCTACCGAATGTAGGCACAAACGTGTCACAACACAACGTAGCCGAGAAGATCCTGGGAGTACCGCCAGGGAAGGAAGGCCAGAGCCGCACAAACAGGAGAGCAGGATAGAGGCAAAAGAGGCGCCCCAAACCCATGACACAGGGAAACCCCCGGTGTCCTCCCCATAGCTGCAATCCAGAACACCCCTGTAGCTACAGGGTACGGACCAGAGAAAGGAGAAGAGCGAGAGGCGAAGCACCCAAAAGAAAAATGCACACTGGTGCACACCTCCCAGACCAAAACGAACTCCAATGGCGCATGCGCATGACATGATGTCCAAACCACACAACGTGCCCGGCGGGAAGGCGTCAACTAGGACTACTTTACAAGAAAAGTAG